GACAGGTTCCACTCAGAGCAGGCCTCGCCATGGTTGACCAAAGTAGTTGAGTGCACATGCTCAGCGTCATATCCAGAGGTTGTCTATGGGAAATAGACGTATGAGTGCTGCCAGCATTGCTGCAGAGGTTGAAGAGATGGGGGGTCAGCCTGTCAGTGCTTAGACCATACGCCACACACTGCATCAAATTGGCCTGCATGGCTGTCATCCCAGAAGGAACCCTCCTCTAAAGATGATGCACAAGAAAGCCAGCAAACAGTTTGCTGAAGACAAGCAAACTAAGGACATGGATTACTGGAACTATGTCCTGTGGTCTGATGAGACCAAGATAAACTTTTTTGGTTCAGATGGTGTCAAACGTATGTGGCGGCAACCAGGTGAGGAGTACAAAGACAAGTGTGTCTTGCCTATAGTCAAGCATAGTGGTGGGAGTGTCATGGTCTGGAGTGTCATGATCTGGGGCTGCATGAGTGCTGCTGGCACTGGGGAGCTACAGTTCATTGAGGGAACCATGAATGCCAACATGTACTGTGACATACTGACACAGAGCATGATCCCCTCACTTCGGAGACTGGGCCACAGGGCAGTATTCCAACATAATGACCCCAAACACACCTCCTAGACGACCACTGCCTTGCTAAAGAAGCTGAGGGTAAAGGTGATGGACTGGCCAAGCATGTCTCCAGACCTAAACCCTATTGAACATCTGTGGAGCGTTCTCAAACGGAAAGTGGAGGAGCGCAAGCTCCGTGATGTTGTCATGGAGGAGTGGAAGAGGACTCCAGTGGCAACCTGTGAAGCTCTGGTGAACTCCATGCCCAAGAGGGTTAAGGCAGTGCTGGAAAATAATGGCCACACAAAATATTGACATTTTGGGCCCAATTTGGACATTTTCACTCTAGGGGGTGTACTCACTTTTGTTGCCAGCGGTTTAGACATTAATGGCTGTGTATTGAGTTATTTTGAGGGGACAGCAAATTGACACTGTTATACAGGCTGTACACTCACTACTTTATATTGTAGCAAAATGTCATTTCTTCAGTGTTGTCACATGAAAAGATAGAATAAAATATTTACAAAAATGTGAGGGGTGGACTCACTTCTGTGAGATACTGTATATACTGCCATTTGTAGACTCTTTAACTTTCACTTAAAGCAATTAATTTACACGTATTGGGGTTTTTTTTTTTTAGCAAAGACATGTAGCAGAATACATTTTGGCCTAAATTTATGACGAAATGTGATTTTTTAAAAACTTTTTTACTAGATATGTGTTATAGCAAAAAGTCAAAAATATATTTTTTTTTTTTTTCAAAATTGTCGGTCTTTTTTTGTTTTCCAGCACAAAAAATATAAAACGCTTTATTTGTGGGAAAAAAGGACACACATTTAATTTCATGTACAGCGTTGCATGACCGCGCAATTTTCAGTTAAAGTAATGCAGCACCACATCGCAAAAAATGTCCTGGTCAGGAAAGGGGGTAAATCCTCTGGAGGGCAAATGGTTAATGCAATTATTTATAATAGGGTATATTGCATCCCACAAAAGCTATTCCAATGGCATTGAAGCAACACTCCAAATTGTCATATGATGTCATAGTTCTCCAGGTGAACTATTATATATGGTATTTGGCAGGTTTCTGTGGTAGTGAGCCCTTGTAGAATACCAAGGTTCCCCAGGTTGCGGAGTTTAAGCCCCAGCCTGCTTTTTCACCAGAACCCCTGATGGTGAGGATGGACTTTCAGCAAGCTGTAATCAGGTCACAGCCCCCAGGTACACCCAGATAACAATGCAGAGACCACTCACATGTGCAGAGTTCAGATAGCGGGAGACAGAAGAGGATCTGAGAAATAAGGCATGGTCAGAGCAGGCTGCAGAAAAGCAAAAAAGGTAGATGAAGCTGCGGTCAGTACATGGGAAGTCAGACACAGAATGCAATGCAAGTAATGCAAGGCAAACTAGGAGTTTTGGAGAAACTGGGAAGTTGCTCAGGCAGCACGGGCTGTTCTGAGCATGCTTTATGTAGGGAAGCAGACTGGGCGGCGTGCCAGGAAGCGATGGAAGAGAAAAGGATAAAAATCCATGGTAGAGCAGGTGACGTCCATAGGTGAACGCAGGTGAGCAGCACATGTAATTAAGAAACACAGGTCTAGCAGAAGTGCTGCAGCAAGGAGGTAAGAATATCACAGGCAGGAAACTGCAGGCTAAATCTTGACACTATTTAAGTGCCCCAAGTTTTATCTGTACTGGCAATCAGTTGTAGATATCATAAATAAAGCCTCTTGACGATCTCCCCCCATTGTGACAGCAGGCTGGGGATCTTCTCCCCGAACCCTTTCATAATTTGAAAAGAACGTGGCCATGTGGGGCTCCACTAGCACAGCAGTTTCATTTATTCACAGAGATTTGTGAATTATTATTATACAGTATTTATATAGCGCCAAAGGGTATGCTCAGCGCTGTACAGTAGCAAGGGGGACAGAGCCCCGCTCCATCCGACGGAGGCACCCTCCAACCCCTTGCCCATTCCGGACATCGGTCCGCACCACTTCCAGACGCCGTCCTACACCACCTCCTGCCACCAGGCCTCTAGTACCCCCTGACGCCGGGCCCTCAGCACCCCCTGACGCCGGGCCCTCAGCACCCCCTGACGCCGGGCCCTCAGCACCCCCTGACGCCGGGCCCTCAGCACCCCCTGACGCCGGGCCCTCAGCACCCCCTGACGCCGGGCCCTCAGCACCCCCTGACGCCGGGCCCTCAGCACCCCCTGACGCCGGGCCCTCAGCACCCCCTGACGCCGGGCCCTCAGCACCCCCTGACGCCGGGCCCTCTGCACCCCCTGACGCCGGGTCCTCTGCTACTCCTGACGCCGGGTCCTCAGCTACTCCTGACACCGGGCCCCTCATCGCCTCCCACCGCTGGGCCCCCATCGCCTCCCGAAGCCGAGCCCTCAACGCCTCCCGATGCCAGGCCTCCAGCACCCCTGACGCCGGGCCTACAACATCTCCAATCACCGCGTCCCACGGCTCGTCCAGCCGCCGCCCCACTGTGCCCACCGACGCTGTGCCACAACACACAAGGACGCCGGCCTACAGGACTCACAGACTGCAACCAGCCAGCTGCGGCCCCAGCCGCCCCCCCACTCCCACTCCCCTCCTACGATTGGACACTGATGAACTCCGACATGGCATAACAGACTCCCCCATCCTCACGTCCCGACTGGAACCTCCCTCCTCTCTGACCCAACCAGCACTCTGCTCGCCCTAGCATGCCACCTGCACTCCTCCTCCTCGTTCTCCTCTCCTCTATTCCCAAACTTGCCTCCCCCCACCCCCCTACTCCCCCAAAACGACTCTACATTGCACCCCCACTCCTTCCTTCGCCCCTCTACGGCTCTCACCACCTCCTCCTGATACTCCACTCCCCCGCCGACTCACATGTCACCACCAACAGACCCACACGCTCCTGCTCATCCCGTTCCCATGCCACCTTCCTCACCCTCCTCCTTCTCCTAACCGCCGGAGACATCTCCCCAAACCCTGGCCCCCCATCTCCCCACTCCCCCTCTCGGCACCCCCCTACTCCCGCCAGCCCCCGCAACCCCCTCAACCTCATATCTGTCCCCCTCCTCCCCGCATCCACCCCTCCCCTCTCGGTTGCACTCCTGAACGCCCGTTCGGTTTGCAACAAGCTCACCGCCATCCACGACCTCTTTGTCTCCCACTCCCTCAACCTCCTAGCGGTCACCGAAACCTGGATCCAAGCCACTGACTCCACCTCCCCTGCAGCCCTAACCACCGGAGACATCTCCCCAAACCCTGGCTCCCCATCTCCCCACTCCCCCTACAAGTGCCAAAAGCCTTTGCGGCTGATGGCTGGTAGTTTCTCAATGAATTACCACAGTGCTAGTGAGCGCTCTAGGTAGTTCATTGATTCTTCCTGTCAATGTGTAACAGCCTGCCCGTACAAGCAGACAGATACACTGACAGTCTGCAGGAGCCTGAGTTTTTACCTGCAAAAAAAAATATGCATTTATTATTTTTTTAGATAAGTAAACTTTTCCATAAAACTATAGGATCCATGGCTATCCATGCCTGCACTGGCCCCTCTGTCCATTAACTTGCAACAACTACTTCAATAAAAATACAGTCAAAACCGTATGTCTACTGAATAATTTGTTACAGTAATTCTGCAAAGTTATACGTTGAACCAGACACAAAATAGTAACACAGATCTCGATGCCACAATTTATGCAAACCTTGTAATATGTAGTTGTTAATAGGTTGTTTTTCTTAAAAAGGACTTCGGAGGATAGGTCTAAATATCTAAATTGTGAATATTGAACATTGAAATATACTATTTGGAATGGAAAACTAATACTAAAAGTAGCAGCAATAAACTGAGTCACAATATTGAAATGCTAATTGTATGTTTACGTGTTTAACATTTAAAATCCAATAAAAAATAATGTAGAAAGAGTTTGTGTTTATTTATACATTAAATAGTAACTGCGTTTTGGTACTTGTGTAAACTGTCATACAGAGCCTTTAGTTGTACTTTAAATAATTATGAAAATGTTAATTTTGTAAATGTTAACAATCTTTTTATTAGCAGCAGTAGTGACTTTTGTGATCTTTTCTTTTTGAATTTCTATCATTTCTGTTTAAGGCATGCAGCTTATGATTGCACTCATTAACACATATCCATGAAAGTCACAGCGAGCATTTCATAGGGTATTAAAGACAAGAGTTAAATACATATTTCTGCATTGCTTATCTACAAATTGAAAAAAACAGTCAGCAACTTAATGACTAAATGGTTGCCAGATTCTCTGGTGTGGAAAATATGCTTCGCCCCAGTAATCCGAAATGTCTGGCAGCCATGCACTGTCATGCCAAATTGACTAATAAAGATGCAATGCAGTTAATCTCCTAAGTGTCTGCATTTAATTAAGATTGAACTCTACATTGATACCAAGGCACCATCTTTATACTTGTAGATGAACAGGAAAGCTCTGGAGCTATTATTTATACTGTGGAACTGAAGAGGTACGGAGGACCTTTGGGAATTACCATTTCTGGCACTGAAGAGCCTTTTGATCCTATTATCATCTCAAGCCTTACTAAAGGTGGACTGGCAGAGAGGTAAGGGCTTTCTTCAGCATGCTTACTACAAAATAATATAAACACAACTACTCAATTGTGCACTAAGTTCAAACCTGACCAGAAAAGTATTTGTATGGATTTATTTTTCTTGCCCGTGTTTGTATGGGCTCCTTCCAGGTGCACCAATATTATCTCACACTCAATAAAATATATTGATACGTTGAAGAGGATCCTACTTTATTATCACACAAAAACATTAGATGGCAATGCATATCTGTGTGGCCCTTGCATTCCATCTGTAAATTATATTGCAGAGCTGCCATATACATTGCCTCTGCAAATTATATTCTGGAACTGCTATATTGAAATATGCATAGAGTGCTTTGAGAAAATGAAATCCCTGACTCATGTTGCACTCCGTTTTTATGATTTCTGTAAGGAATACATGGAAACAATTGTATAGATCTAGGGGGTAGAAAATTGCTGACCAGCATCACATGGCTAACTGGAGTCATGGAAAACGAGTTGGAAATACGAACGTGGATTGAGGGAGGCCAAATCCTTTATATGGCCAAGCTCAGAAACTGTTTGAGACAAAACAAGTATTATGATTACATATTTACTTACATTGAGTTAAGAACGAAGTATAGATAATACTGTTAGAATGGCATATTTTCATTGTTGTTCTGATTTGCTTGAAGTTGCATTTCTGTTAAAATGATACTAAAGTTTAAAAAAAAAAAAACAAATATGTCATACTTACCTGCCCTGTGCAATGGTTTTGCACAGAGCAGCATCGATCCTCCTCCTTGGGTCCCCTGCTGGCACTCCTGCCTTTTCCACCCTGCTCAGTTCCCCCAAAGGAAGCTACTTCCTCTGGGGGCACTTGAACATGCTTGCTCCTGAGCCGCTTCTCTGTGTCTATAAGACGCACAGTGCTTAGCCCCGTTCCCTCCTCACTGGACCGTGATTGACAGCAGTTGGAGCCAATGGCACCCATTAATGTGTCTCAGCCAATGAGGAGGAAGAGAGCCAGGAGAGCTGCTGCTCTCATTCTTATCGCTGGACTGAGATCATGCACAGGTAAGTGTTAGCAGGGAGCTGCACACTAAAGGCTTTTTTTTTTTTTTTTTTTTTTTTTTTTTTTTTTTTTTTTTACCCCCATGAACTTTAATTTCCCTCAAACTGATCATAAACACTGGATTGCATTCATACATACCTGAATGATTCAGCTGTTGAAGAGTATTCATTTAGGAAGAGAAAATTTGACATGCTTGTGAAAATTCCATTTCCCTGGGAATATCACTGCAAAGATCTGAATTTGCTATATACAGTTGTGTTCAAAATAATAGCAGTGTGTTGAAAAAAGTGAATAAAGCTCAAAATCCTTCTAATAGCTTTTATTTCCATACACACAAATGCATTGCAGGTATTCCAGCCCAGGATGATTGGACTACATTCCACAGTTCTTCTCTATTTCTTGGTTTTGCCTCAGAAACTGCATTTTTGATGTCACCCCCCAAGTTTTCTATTGGATTAAGATCTGGGGATTGGGCTGGCCACTCCATAACTTCAATCTTGTTGGTTTGGAACCAAGATGTTGCACGTTTACTGGTGTGTTTGGGGTCGTTGTCTTGTAGGAACACCCATGTCAAGGGCATTTCCTCTTCAGCATAAGGCAGCATGACCTCTTCAAGTATTCTGATGTATTCAAACTGATCCATGATCCCTGGTATGCGATAAATAGGCCCAACACCGTAGTATGAGAAACATCCCCATATCATGATGCTTGCGCAACCATGCTTCACTGTCTTCACAGTGTACTGTGGCTTGAATTGAGTGTTTGGGGGTCGTCTGACAAACTGTCTCCGGCCACTAAACCCAAAAAGAACAATCTTACTTTCATCAGTCCACAAAATGTTGCGCCATTTCTCTTTTAGGCCAGTCAATGTGCTCTTTGGCAAATTGTAACCTCTTCAGCACGTCTTTTTTTTTTCAACAGTGGGACTTTACGGGGGCTTCTTGCAGATAGCTTGGCTTCACATAGGTGTCTTCTAATTGTAACAGTACTCACAGGTAACTTTAGACCTTCTTTGATCTTCCTGGAGCTGATTGTTGGCTGAGTCCTTGCCATTTTGGCTATTCTTCTATCTATTCCAATGGTAGTGTTTTGCTTTCTTCCACGTCTTTCAGGTTTTGGTTGCCATTTTAAAACATTTCCAATCATTTTAGCTGAGCAGCCTATCATTTTTCTGCACTTCTTTATATGTTTTCCCCTCTCCAATCAACTTTTTAATCAAGGTACGCTGTTCTTCTGAACAATGTCTGGAACTACCCATTTTCCTCAGAATTTCAGAGAGAAGTGCACTATAACCAGCATGTACAACATTTGCTGCCTTCCTTCCTTAAATAAGGGCAATAATTGCCACCTGTTTTACAAAGAATGAATGACCTCACTAATAGAACTCCACACTGCTATTATTTTGAACATGCCCCTTTCAATTAGTGATTCAATTACACACAGAATCAGCAGCAGCATGTCATGCATGTCATGACTGTTGGGTCTGTTGGATTTCTATTACTCTACTACACCTGCTAGTAAATTATTTGCCATGTAGAAATATCATTTCTACCAAAAACAGTAATTGATCAGGTTAGTGATGTCTGACTGCTATTATTTTGAACACAACTGTACGTGCCAAAAGCCCCTCAGTTGTTGATTGTTGGGATTCGTGGGTGCTTGTTTGACCAAGCAGAATACGAGTTTAGGCTCAACTGGATAGAAACAGTGAATGCACACTGTACTAGATAATATGGTGACTTTGTATAGATAATATGTAACAATCTGTATCCATTAAAGTAGATTCCGGAGTGCCCTTTAATTCCTCACAAATGAATGTTTATGGCATTTTTTATGGATGTCACAGAATTAGCCAACGTTGTCGTCAACTTCCTTTGAATAAAGATGAAGATTTTTTATTTTATTTCTTTCTTTCATGGGGCTATTTGTACAGAGCTGATGAACTATGAACATCACAAGCTAATTTAATGTTCTTACCTGCTGGTAGTAATGACTTAATTGGAGAGATCTTATAAGAAGAGGCTCCAGCCAATAATTTCTCTAGTGCTAGTCAGAATACCAGATATTATCCTTGTGAAAAATACTTAGACATCATTTAAAAGTAAACCATCAAATTAATTATTCCCTGTTAACATTAATTCTAAAGTTTCTTTTTATTAGAAATGTAAATTGTAAATGACCTTTTGTTTTAACCCCCGTTCACACCAGTGCAACTTGTCATGCAATTTGACAGTTCCAAATCACATGGCAAGTCGCATCCTATTGCCAGCAATGGAACCATTCATATTGCCGTGACTCATGTTGCAATGATTATGAAAAAGGTTTTTGCACTACTTTTTTCTGATTTCATTTCATTGTCTGTTAAATGAAGCCACAATGAAATCGGAGATGTAAATTGCACTGATCCGCGGCTTTGAAATTGCACTGAAAGCCGTACCAGTGCAAAACGAGTTAAAGCAGAGCTTTTTTTTTTTTTTTTTTTGTGGAGTAAGGTGTTCTCTGTTCCTCTTATCTATGGTCCATAATCATGGTATTCCCTCTATTCCTTGTGTCACAGCCAGGACCCTGCCTTGAGCTAAAATTCCTGATTCTTTTCTGAAGTATATATATTCCCATGGAAGATCCATTATAGGGCCACTGACCCCATAATGCTGGAAAATTCTGCATAGGAATATATGTGGAATGTACTTCACAAATAGGCTAAAAAACAGTTTGCAGCAATCTTGCCACATGATTATTAGGCTTGGGGAAATATGTTCCTGTCAAGGTTCTTGACAGCAGTAAAGGCTCAGCAAGGGATCAAACCCCTGTCTCCATAGACCTAAAGAAATTTGTCAATATTTGAATTTAGCACTTTTTGTATTTCTTCTAATTTTAGGACAGGAGCAATCCATATAGGGGATCGGATACTAGCCATAAATAGTAACAGTCTAAAAGGCAAACCTTTGAGTGAAGCCATTCACTTATTACAAATGGCAGGGGAGACTGTCACTTTAAAAATCAAGAAGCAAAATGATGGTAAGTTGATTTACATTAAATGTGTTTTTGGTATTTACCACAGCATCTGAAATAAGAGCTGTCTGTTTTGTCTTTCTGCCATATGACATTTATTAACAAATCTTAAGCATGGGGAATTGTGTTGATGACTGTTAATAAACAGATTGCTGTTGGGAAGTAGTTAAATATTGGATTATTCAGAGAGACAGAATACAATTTGAGCAATACTTGAGTATGTTTTGGGCAATACAGTTAATGTAAGGAAATATGATTAGTGTGACCACTGACGGTTTATTCAAAAAGCATTCTTTTTCTCTATGAACATTTATATGGATTAATTCCTGCTCAAATCGGCTGAAACACTTAGTTTTTACATCCGTGGTGCTTTTCTCTGCCACTGAAATATGAACTGGTTTTGTAGCTTTTACTCAACATTTCCATATGAAATTTTTGTCTTTAAGCAACAAGTCCAAAGATATTTGCATCACCAAGCAGAGTAAGTGAGCTGTGTGATGCTGAGGATGACACTCCTGTCACTCAGAAATCCAGCAACCTCTCTGATATTTACTCTACCACAGTGCCAAGTGTGGATAGCGCAGTGGAGTCCTGGGATGGCTCTGCTGTGGACACAGCTTTTGGAAGCCAAGGTAAATAACAAATAACTATGCTTATCTCATATATCATCTTAGACAAATTACAGCATTGGTGAAATTGTTCTGTAGAGCTGAGATGTCACTTCATTCTGAAAAAGTTGCTACGGTAGACTGCAGACTAGTTGCTGGAAGCTGCATCCGTTTATTGTGTTCTTGAGTAATGGTAACCTTACCTGTCAAGAAATGCAGTACAGTCAGTCTCACAGAAAGACATCCTGGGTTTAGAATTACTCTGTCTAGCCTGACAGAATTATTTTGAGTTTAAGGAAAAAAAGAATTTGCCGTTTTCCTTTGTTTGCTAATAGGAGACTCTTCATTCTAAGGTGGAGGTATTTTAAGTACAGTAAACCATAGCAGTCGGCCAGAATACTTATTTCACTGATCTCTGATTTGTTTGTAGCATCTTTTGGATGCACTGGTCTATTGGTATTACACTGAATATCAGTTTGGGTCCGCAATCGTGGGAAATACTGTGTCAAGTCCCAGTTTAAATTGTAAAGGGCAACTTAAACTTTAGGGAACTCAAGAAGAGTCAAGAAGTAGTTGGGAAAGAAAACTCATCTTTTTTTCTTAATTGTTCTGTCACTTTCTAGGTCCAAACTTTCAAGCGTCAGGATTCAATTTCAATGCATATGAATGGAGGAGCCCCAAACAGAAGGGCAGTCTGTCTCCTTTAAGTAGACCCGCTATGAATCACTTCCAGGACACAGGGCTTAGTGACGATGAGTGGGATAGGCCTGCAGCCAGTGGGTAAGTAATGCAGCTTCATACTAGGATGTCAGCAGCATGAAGCAATGGCAATTAGAAAACCCAAACATGTTAGACCCAGGACACCCCCCCCCCCCCTTTTTTTTTTACATATGTATCACAATACTGACAATATGTAATGCTTTGTGTCACACAATTAATTTGCTGCACTGTGAGATGATTCACTTAATCAAGAGATTTAGTAGCACGGTTGAGCTAATAAAATCATCTGCACAGATCTTTGACATGCTCAGCCGGCTTTCAGCTGCAAAACGTGACCACCAATGGGCTTGGCCATCTGTGATAGAAACTGATTGCACTTGATTGCCATTATATGTTCACTATTTTTTTTTTTTTTGTAATCGTGAACTGGTTGAAATTACCTGAACAGAATGGGTTGTATGAGCTTGAGAAGTGTAGTGTATTTTAGATCTAAATGATCACAGCTCATTAACCAGAATTCACTGACTGAAATGTACAGCTACCTCTCACCAGTGTCACTGCCTTTGAGATATAAATCTACCTTTTTACCAGTTTTATCACATGTGAAATTTAAAGGTTTCTTTCACTGATGTCACTGACTTTGAACCCTACAGCTTCTGTTCACAGGTGTCACTGACTGAAATATACAGCTTTCTTTCACAAGTATCACCAACTACAAAACTGTCTGATTTCAACAGTTCACAAAGTGTCTAGTCTTATAAGCTTAACTCTAACAGTTTTTTAACTGTTGTGTATATATTAATTTGCATAAAATGTTTAATACAGGCTATATCTGAGATAGTGTGTGCAGTCATTCTTTTTTTAAAGGCCCATTCACACCAGAAGCTGTTGGTTTGTGGTAGGATGTTCTGATTCCGGCTCACCAATTGTTTACTTTTTTTTTTTGGTTAGATGAACAATATTAAAATGTCACAAAGTGACATTTCTTCAAGTTCTACTGGCTGCATTGCCGTGCAATGCAGTGAATTTTGTTGTTGTGCTGTGCTAACAAAAAACACTGTGCCATGCTTTTTTCAGTGCACACCCCCGCAGTGGGGTAGTGTGAATGGGCCTGATGATAGACCAGGCATTTTGCCTTGTTTTGCTGTTGGACTGCACTGGGCAAGTCTGCCCAGCACAATCTCACAGCACTTGATGTAAACAGACCCTTAAACTGACCGTATCATTACCTGCAAACTTTCTGTACAATTAAAAACTAGTTTGAGCTCCTACTCTTGTGGTCTATTACCAGCATTGGTTATTTACAGCAAAGCAATAATGAGATTGCTAGATATAAGTCAAAGAGACATATACAGAAACGTCATATATTCCCTTAAACCTATTTTGTGCAGGTTTCCTGGAGGTCCAGAGGACGCTGAAGCTGACCAAGAGGAAAATTTCTGGTCCCAGGCACTCGAGGATCTAGAAACATGTGGCCAGTCAGGAATTCTCAGAGAACTAGAGGTAATATTTTCAAACTAATGAACAAAATGCCAAACATTTTCTTGTTTCTTTTGGTAATTACATTTTGTTATCTTTACAGGAAAAAACCTGATAAATGTTCTAAGAACATGATACTTTTGGTATACAATCCCTTTGTGTTGTTTTTTGTGTGTTGATTTACTTGCCTGCTTGTTATAGCTAGAGTGCAGTGTATGCAAGTTAATATAGCATGTGGATACATAGCTTGTTACTGCATACCCCTATCATTAAGTGAAAAACTGACCCTTGCTACTGTACATTAAATATACATCCCATATAATCTAGGAAGTCTAATAGTTTTTACAGTTTTTTTTTTTTTTTTTAGGATTACAAGTTTGTAATCTGATGTTTTATATTTTTTAATTATATGTATACATTTTTTTCAATCACATAAACATTCAATAGAAGGTGCATCCCTAACCCTTTGTAAAGGATCCTGGTTTTAGCATTATGAAATGCTAAATGCTTCCATGTTCTCCTCTAAGCTGAGGGTGGGTGGGTTGGGTACCAAGGCTATTCAAAGTTATTTATTACATAGAAGCTGTAAGCAGGGATCTAACCTCCTGCAGATGTTAAATATGAAAAGACACCTTTAATTTCCCTATCATATCTTTGGTTTACATACCTGGTTGCTTCTTTGAAAAGTCTTAAGACCCCTTCCAAACGGGGCGGACTCTGCCAGGAGTCTGCTTGCTCAGTGGGGGATCTGTCCATTGTTCCTCAACGAGCAAGTGGATGGCTCATCTGTGTCCACTTCGCTTATGCAGGGCAAACACGGACACAACCTACTCTCCTCTATGGGTGGACCGCCTGTCTGTTTACACCTGACTGGCATCTAATCCAATCCACTAGATATCTTCTGTCTGTTTTTATAGGATCGGATTTAGGCAGGTGTAAACGTCCATTTACACCCACCGCTCCAAAGAGGACAATGGAAGGTCCGATTGGGTCCGCCTGCAAAGTGGAATTTTGAAATTGGGCAGGACCCAATGCTAAGAACTTACTTGTGCCACATACTGAGAAGTAAGGCTAGTTATACCTGTTAGCATTCCTGTCTTTCAGGCCGAACACTTATCCACACTAAACGGGAATCTCCCCTACTGTCCAGTGTAATCCGACAGTTGTTGCTACAGCAGCTGTCAGAATAATTGAACAGTGACTGCATCTGATTGGCTGCAGTCACCAATCAGCCAAAAAGTTTCCCCCTGGCATCAGATCGAAAAAGCTTTTTGAGCTGGGTGGTACCAACAGGACCACCCATGGCAGGAATTTCATCTGATTCAGTAGGACTAGGCCAAAATTTGCACCATCTATGGCCAGCTTTTACTGCAATGCACAGGGGAGTCAGTCAGGAACTGTAGAGGTACAATATGGTACCGGTGGGGGACTGCTTTCTATTAATCTGTGTTGACCTTTTAATTTATGAAACAACTGGGTTGATTGACTGAAAGCAATTGGTGTTGCACTTTGCAGAGATATTTTCCTCAGAGCTTAGTAAATGAAGTGAAGCTCTGCTGAATGATTTTTTGTATTCACCCTAAAATCCTTTTCTCTCGAGTTCATTGAAGAACACAAATGGGTTTGATGTTGCCACTTGCAGAAGCAGGACAGTAGGTGTAGCCAAAAACAAAAAACATGCCTAGAGATGGCCCCATGCTGGTTGCCAAACTCCCATCTGCAAGACACAGCTCAGTTAGTAGCCAGCAGTAATAGAAACAACAAACCTGAGGCAAGCAAAAATCTGGGTGAATGCTGTGTCCTGCAATGAGCTCAAAAACAGATTTTACAGTGAAGGACACAGCCAAATCATTAGCAGGATGGAACTTCCCAAAGCAGTGCCAGATATAACAAGGGTTAGCTCATAACTAACAAACCAAACAAGAAAACCACACCCTGCAGAACAGAACCTAAACTGCTGCATGCAGAACTGTATTAAAATTGGCATTTGCCGAGGCAGCCACATTAACTTTGTAGAACTAGGTAAAAGTGTAAACACATGACCAGGTAGCTGCCTTGCAAACCTGAACAACAGAGGCAGAATGGTGGAATGCCCAGGAAGCAGTGAGTGCCCAATCTGAATGAGCTGTGACAGGAAACGGGTTCACAGCTGGCTAGGGCATATACCTGAACTATTTTCTGCCTAATCCACTGAGAAATGGTGTCGGATGATGCTGCCTGTCTCTTGCAAGGACCCTCTAGGGCAATGAACGAGTCAGTCTTCCAAATAAAACACTTGGCAGAAAACTGAGCTGTGTCTTGCAGATGGAGGGCTTGGCATCCAGCAGGGGGCCTCCCTATGGGTATGTTTTTTGTTTTTGTCTGCACCTAATGTCCTGCTCCTGTAGGTGGCAACATCATACCCATCTATCTAATGATTTGGCTGTGTCCTTAAATAAACAAAAGAGAAATGCTTTTTTTTTCCCTTGTGATTGGGTATTTTTCACAACATTTACTAAGAAATAGAGAAAATTCCCTTGTAAATTGCACATTCCCATACAGAGTGAATGGCTTAATTTCCTTTAGTAAATCAACCCTAATGTGATAGGTTTGCTTTCAGAGTTACAAAAGGTACAGCCATGGCCACAAGTTTTGAGAATGACACAAATATTAATTTTCACAAAGTCTGCTGCTTCAGTCAGTGTTTTTAGATTTTTTTTTACATTAAAGTGTTACTAAAACCAGGACCCTGCATTCACTATATCTGGTCTCCCACAGTACACAGAACATGGAAATGCAATTATTTTAGTAAATATAAACTGCTAAATACCTTTTGTCATCAGCAGTTAGAGCAGTCTTGTGACTTAGCACTAGCTAAAGCTTGTAGGAGGAGTTTTCTTTCTGCTATAGGAGGATGGAAATCTCCTGACTTCTGCCTGGACAGTGCTGATTGGCCCTGGTCTAATCACATGCACTCTCCCAAGAAAAGAAAAAAACCTCTCTAGCAATACACACCAAACTGAGCATGTGCAGAAGGGCTCAGGTTAAGTCTATATCAGATGATCATTTCAACAAAAGGAGCAGAGAAGAAAGGATCAAACAGCCTTTTTACACAATGCAGAGGAATAACCCCTTAGATTCCACAGTGAGCATAACAAGCATGCTTTACTGCATATACAGACTGATTTTACTGTTGTGGGTTTAGTAACGCTTTACGTTCATGCAGAGTCAATATTTGCAGTGTTGACCCTTCTTTTTCAAGACCTCTGCAATTCTCCCTGGCATGCTGTCAATCAACAGGCCACACCCTGACTGATGGCAGCCCATTCTTGCATAATCAATGCTTGGAGTTTGTCAGGATTTGTGGGGGGTTTTTGTTCACAAGTTCTCAATGGGATTAAAATGTTACTAAAGCCAGGATCCTGCATTCACTATATCTTGTCTCCGACACAGTACACCGAACATGGAAATGCAATTATTTTAGTAAATATAAACTGCTATATACCTTTTCTCATCAACAGTTAGAAGTCACAAGACTGCTCTATCAGTGTCCAGCGGAGCACTGGTTAAAGCTTGGAGGAGGAATTTTCTTTATGATCTAGGAGGATTCAAAACTCCTGACCTCTGTCTGGACAGTACTGATTGGCCCTTTGCTGATCACATGCACTCTCCCAAGAAAAAAAAAAAAAACCTCCCCAGCAATACACACTAAACTGCACATGTGCAGAATGGCTACAAGTCAGTCTGTCTTATCAGGAGATAAGACGTGGATATTTGAACAAGAGGAAAAGCATAAGTCAGGATCAAATTGCCGTTTTACACAATGCAGAGGATTGACCCCTTAGGTTCCACAGCGAGACTGAGATTTTCCTGTTGTGGGTTTACTAACAAATCCAGGTCTTGGGAGTTTCCTGGCCATGGACCCAAATTTTTGATGTTTTGTTCCCCAAGCCACTTAGTTATTACTTTTGCCTTATGGCAAGGTGCTCCACCATGCTGGAAATGGCATTGTTTGTCACCAAACTGTTCTTGGATAGTTGGGAGAAGTACCATTCTTTATTCATAGCTGTGTTCTTAGGCAAAATTGTGAGTGAGCCACTCCCTTGGCTGAGAGGCAACCCCACACGTGAATGGCCTCAGGATGCTTTACTGTTGGCATGACACAGGACTGATGGTAGCGCTCACCTTTTCTCCTCCGGTTATTGTGGATGCCCCAAACAATCAAAAAGGGGATTCGTTAGAGAAAATGACTTTACCCCAGTCCTCAGCAGTCCGATCCTTGTACCTTTTGCAGAATATCACTGTCACGGGTAGTGGCTTGAACATGGCGCTGGGAGACTAAGTGCAGGAGCTCCCAACGCATGCCATGAAGAGACAGCCTGGGGCCTGATCTATCTACATCTCACCCTGCAATCCTACCTGATTATGTTGGTGGTACCAGTCAGTGTTGCGGTGTTCCCGCGACAGCAGTGGCGAGGCGGAAGGCAAGCGACGTTGATCTCTGGTGGAGGGACCAGCGGTCTGAGGCTGGGATCGCGCAGCTCCCGGTGGGACCGGCCGGCTACAGTGCTTCCTGGAGTGCAGGCGGTGCCAAGAGGGGGAGACTGAGGAGGCACCTGAACATGGAAGGTCCCCAGGAGGGACGGTCTATGCGGGGAGGTATTAAGTTAGCTGGACACTCCAACGGCCGGAGAAGAGGGACACACTACTGGAGGCCAGGAGAAACTCCAGGATACAGGACATCCTGGGTTCCTGCCTAGACCCCCGCTCAAGTGATCCTGCAAATTGGAGCATGAGATCCTGACTGGGATAGAACACATAGAGACAAACGGATCCAGAAGCCCGGGCTCCGAGGGTGAGTTGCCGTGGGCAACAGCAGGAGATTTAAGTCTCTATTTTTTCTTTTGTTAGCAACTGTATACCTGATCTGTGGGGCTGGACAGTTAGAAGACCAAGGGGCCGGGGTATCTCAGGGGCCTAGTAGCGTTGCTAATAACGTTTGTATTATAAACTCTACTTGGGACTGTAAAGTCATTGTAAAAGAA